TCTTTATTCTGCAAATGCATACTATTTTCCTGACCCACCTATATAAATCCCTCCAAAAATGATAGTTTTTTAACAAGTCAGTCACCATATTTTTAACTATGGTATCTAAACACTGAACCTAATTTAGCTTCAATTTCTAAATGCTAACTTAGAATTGGATCTATCGCTATTGAATTTTGAGCTGGAAATTTCGTAGAATATGGCTTGAAGGCTTTCACTTCTCTAGTTTCTCAATTGCAACAATTAAATTTGGATTTTTAAATCTGATTAGTTGATATGACAGAATTTATTTATCATGACTAAATACCTAAAATGCATTACACGAAAAAAAAAAAAACATCAGACAATTCAAAGTTACTTGCGAACTTTGGATACAAATTATGATGTAATTTTTTTTTTTTTTTTAGTTCATTTGGACTTGAATTTGCATTAAAAAATCAGTATCATTATTTCTCGGTTTCGCGTCTGATGAAATTTGCTTAAAGCTTCATGCGTGTATGCGTTGATGCATTTTTGATTATAAAAACGAAATATAGTTATTGGCGCTATTGATTGATCGCTGACTTACGAATATGATCAAGAATAAGATGCATTCAAAACCTTTCAGATATTTAAGAAACTTATACCTTGGCATTTCTAACCTCATTCGTAAAGGTTTTACACAAGATTTCTCAAAAAAAAAAAATAAATAAATAACCCAAAAAAGATTTCTTCTACTTATTAGTGAAAAATGACAAAATTCACTTTCAAACCCTCAATTTCCATTATTACATTTATTCTTTCGGCTATTTCATGTACCACTGCGTCATACTTAAACAAACGTGCCTTCTTATCTAATTATAACCCTTTTGTCGTATTTGAAAATGAAAATGAGAATATTGCGAGCGCTGAAGCCGCTGATTTCAACATATTAGATATTTCTGCTCTTAACGCCGCAGAAACTGCCGCAAGCGCCGATAATGAACAAGCAACCACCCTCTTATTTGGAAAACGTGCTTTCTTACAGAATGGCTTTCAACCTTTTATCGTATTTGAAAATGCTAATGAGAATATTGCGTCCGCCGAAGCCTCTAATGTCAACCAATTCGATATCCAAGCTTTGAACGCTGCTGAAACTGCTGCATCAACTGACCATGAACAAGCAACTACATTCTTGTTTGGAAAACGAAATTTCTTACAGAATGGTTATTCCCCTTTTGTCGTACTTAATACTGAAACTGAAAATATTGCATCCGCCGAAGCTGCAGATGTTAACGAACTTAATATCGAAGCTTTTAACGCCAATGAAGCTGCTGCAAGTAACGATCTTGAACAAGCAACCACCTTCATAATTGCAAAACGTAATTTCTTGCAGAATGGTTATGCCCCTTTTCTCGTATTTGAAAATGCTAATGAAAATATTGCGTCCGCTGAAGCCGCTAATGTTAACCAGTTCGATCTCGAAGCTTTGAACGCCAATGAAGCTGCTACATCAGCTGACTTTGAACAAGCAACTACACTTTTGTTTGGAAAACGTTCTTTCTTAGAGAATGGGGCTTCCCCTTTTCTCATACTTGAAACTGAAAATGAAAATATCGCGTCCGCTGAAGCCGCTAATGTTAACCAATTCGATCTCGAAGCCCTGAACGCCGATGAAACTGCAGCTAGTGCCGATCAAGAATCTGCGACTAACCTTATAGTGACGTAGATGGTTATGAAGAAACTTTTTGGGTGGCAGAACTTGTCAAAAATAAAAAAAAGTAATAATAATAATAATTAAAATAAAATTAGTTGTACAATAATATATCTAATATCTATATTTGTATATTTTTAATCAAAAATTTGTTTCGTCTTAATCAAAAATTTTCTCTAACTAAAAATGTTTGAAATATTAAAAATAAAGTAATATGTTTTGAAAATTTTCTATAATTATTGAAGCTGATTGCCGTTGTTTACCATGCTTTTTTTTGACTTTGTCCCGTCCTGTTCCAGAAATGTCCCAACTTTCATTTAACTTATAAACCTAAGTTAAAAAATTACATATAAAATTGAACTTGACATTTTTATTTAATCGTAAAAAGTAATAAAATTTTGAGCTACAGTCAGACCTCTCTAAATGCATATCATTGGGACCAGCTCTGAGGTATGCATTTAGAGAGGGTTGCATTTAGAGA